TGCATCCTTATGATACGGGCTGCCTGCACAAACGAAGACGTCCAGCGCTCGGCGCCCTGCGATGCAGCAGCGCCGCGCGCTGGATGACGGGACGGCGCCACGCGCTACGTGGCTACGCGCCATGTGGGCGCCTGGCGCTCCGCCGGGCCTCCCAGGCGCCCATGAACGTGACGACAGTTACGCAGATCGCAGCCCCCGCCGGAGCCGCGAGATCTCAAAGTGATCTCCGCTGCCCCCACCCCCGCCAGGCCTCCCAGGAGCCCACGAAAGTGGCGACAATGGCGCAGATCGCAGCCCCCGACGGAGCCGCGAGGTCTCAAACTGATATGCGTTGCCCTTCACCTGCGCGGCATGAGCTGGTTTTGCCGGCGCTGGCTTCGCCAGCGCTAGTTTCGCCGCGCTGGTTTCGCCGACGGCTGGTTTCGCCAGCGCTGGTTTCGCGGGCGCTGGTTTTGCCCCGCTGGTTTCACCCCGCTGGTTTCGCCGGCGGCCGGTTTTGCCGGCGCTGGTTTCGCCGACGCCGTCGCTGCGGGCGGGCGGACCCTTGCGGGCGGGTCGGGTCGGGTCGGGCGGGCGGACCCTGACGAGCGGGTCGGGTCGGTTGGGCGGGACGTTAAATTGTGGGGCAAGCTCGACCGAGCACGCGCGAAATCTGACGGGCGGGTCGGGTCGCGCGGGCGGACCCTAGCGGGCGCGTCGGGTCGGGTCGGGCAGGCGGACCCTGACGGGCGGGTCGGGTCGGGCGGGCGGACCCTAACGGGCGGGACGGGTCGGGTCGGACGGGCGGACCCTAACGTTCGGGTCGGGTCGGGAACGAGCGGACCCTAGCAGGCGGGACCCTTGCCGGCGGATCGGGTCGGGCGGGCGGGACATTAAATTGTGTGGGGCGCGCTCGACCGAGCACGCGCGAACCCTGGCAACCCGGTCGGACGGGCGGACCCTAACGTGCGGGTCGGGTCGGGGGCGAGCGGACGCTAGCGGGCGGGGCGGGGCGGGTCGAGCGGGCGGACCCTAGCTTGCGGATCGGGTCGGGCGGGTGGACATTACATTGTGGGGCGCGCTCGACCGAGCACGCGCGAACCCTAGCGACCCGGGTCGGGCGGGCGGACCCTGACGGGCGTGTCGGGTCGGGCGGGCGGGACATTGAAGTGTGGGACACGCTCGACCGAGCACGCGGGAACCCTAACGGGCGGGTCGGGTCGGGCGGGCGGACGCTAGCGGGCGGGTTGGGTCGGGCAGTTTCGCCGACGGCAGCTGGTTTCGGCGACAGCTGGTTTCGCTGACGGCAGCTGATTTCGCCGACGGGGATGGTTTCGCCGACGGAGATGGTTTCGCTGGGCGGCGAAACCAGCTGGGAGAGACCAGCTGGGTGAAACCAGCTGGGCGAAACCAACCGTCGGCGAAACCAGTTGTCGCCACCTGCGCTGGACCTCCCAGGCGCCCACGGAAGTGGCGACAGTTGCGCAGTTCGCAGCCCCCGACGGAAGCGCGAGGTCTCGAAGTGATCTTTGCTGCGCTCACCTCCGACGTGCCTCACACGAGCCCACGAAGGTTGCGACAGTATCGCAGTTCGCAAACACTCCGGAGCAGGGGGCGGAAGTTGGTGGAGTAGGAGGAGGACGATCGGCATCGTCTAACCCATCCCCATCCCCATCCCCGCAGGGCCCCGCCATCTCAGCCCGCCCAAGCCACCCCCACAGGTGGCCCCGCGACGCCCGAAGGAAACCGCATGCAGCCCCACCTTGGGGGAGGGGGCAAGTCGGCCAGCGGGGCCGACTTCCCATGACGGTGGTCGGGAGCCTTGAGACGGGGGTCAGTGCAAGCGGGGGTCAGCCAGGGCGCCAGATCCTGCAGGATCCTGCGAAGGTCCCCTCTGGCTGACCCGGGTTTGCGAGGACCTGCGTTGCAGTTTTTTTTTCCTGCATTGCAGTTTCTGGTTTCTTGCTGACCCGGGTCTGGATTGACCCGGGTCAGAAGATCCCCGAGGTGGGAATGGTGATCTGTGGCGCACGATGCCCAGAAGAGGGGAGAAGGACGTCATCGTCATCGTCGTCGTCGTCGTCGTCGTCGTCGTCGTCGTCGTCGTCGCGGGGCTCCCCGCTGGGGGGCCGGGTGCAGAGCCAGGTCCTACCCGCGCCTCGTCCGCGGCTTCCAGCTGCACTACGAGAGGGAGTGGCGGCGCCACCGGACCCAGAGCGAGGAGGAGGAGGAGGAGGAGGAAGAGGAGGAGGAGGAGGAGGAGGAGGAGGAGGAGGAGGAGGAGTTGTAAGATGGAGGGGAAGCGGTGAGGGGGAGGAGGGGGAGGAGGAGGAGGAAGGAGGAAGGTAGGAGTCACGGGAGGAAGGGTGAAGGTAGAGACAGGAGGAAGGGAAAGTAAGGTAAGAAGAAGAGGATAGAGGAACGGGGGGGGGGGCAGGGGCAACGTCAGGAGGGACATGCTCAGGATGTGTCGACGGCCCCGAGTCGCCCATCGATCGCCGGCAGGAGCCCGATGGCCCACCCCACCCAGGAGCGTGCAGGTTCGCCATCGGGGGCTTGTGTCACCGATCTTGATGGGCCTGTGTTC